AAACATTCCTGGGAAATCAGATCCAGGATGGGGAGGGGGAAGCTGCTGGGAGCTTTGCCCCTAGTTTTTCCCCTGCGTTTGGGGGGGAGGGGAGCACCCTTTGAGTAAAATCTGGGGGATCCAGCATCAGCTGGGAGGAGGGGAAAGGGATTTCCTGAGGTATCCCGAGATGTCGCCTGTCTGGGGCCTCTTGCCCCGTTTGGGGTGTTATCACCACCTGGGGAAGAAGGGTGGGGAAATGGGTACGAGTCCTCTCTGGGGAGGTTTTTCTGGCACCAGGGTGGTTTTTAGGCACAAGCAGAGCTTGTGCTTCCAAATCCCTTGGAAATGCCCCAAAATTCCCCCCCCACCCCAGCTCCCGGCAGCCGCTTCCCCTCCCCACTAACACACCCTGCGCTCTGCTTATGCCAAGATAAGTACCTTATGCTTTAATGCTTACCACATAATTTTAAGCTCTTAAAAAAGAAATGTATTAAGATTTATTTAATGATGCTCTAATAGTGTCTTATTATTATTTTTTTTTTGGAATTAATTCCCATACGCCCTGGTTAAAAAAGGGGCCTTTTGTCTTAAATCACCCAACGGACCCGACGCTCCTTGAGAGACCCCAGGGGATGGATGAGTAGAGGGACCCCTGGGGTGGCCAGGCAGGGTTTGTCCTGTGGCATCTTTCTCTGCAGAGAAACATTGATATACATTTTGTTGGGTTGTTTGGTTGTGTTTTTGTTTGTGGGTTGTTTTTTTTTTTGGCAGGGGGGAGGGGGGTATTTTTGTTGTTGTTGTTCATGTTCTTCTTGACTTTTTATAATTTAAACTATAAAACCACCAGAACAGATGAACAATCTCCTTGTTATTGGTAGTTTCCTTTGCATTTCAGCTTTTTTTTTTTTTTGTAAATTAGGAAATAATTCTAAAAATGACTAAGAGGATGATTTATTTAAAAGAGAACTTCGATAAATAGCATATGAATTATGGGTAACATTAGATTTAACTTTCCCCCACGTGACTGGGGGAGAATCCTTGAAGGCATGGATGCAAATATAAAAATTATAAAAGATCTAAATAAAGCTTATTTTAAAGTACAGATGAATTCCATGTGAGTTAATGTCTTGCCTGATGGAGATCCTGGGCTGATGGGACACTGGACACAAGTCTTGGGGGTGCAGAGAGGATGATTGTCACCCCTGCCATGGGTCCCTGGGGAGGATGCAGGAGGAGGCAGCACCCCTGGACCTGCTCTTGCCTGAGGCCATCAGAGCTTCCATCAGGACACAGTGCTGCTGGGGGGAGGCTGGGGCTGTTGGTGCATCCATATAAAATGGGAATATAAGGATTGAAGGCAAGAACAGATTTGGGAAAGTGGGGGAACAGCCAAAAGTTCCTCTCGGATGTAGAAGATGCAATGCCAAGAAAAACAGGTGGGTCAGAGACAGAAGTTTGTGTACATGTAACACTTGCTAGTGGATGGATTATTGTTAATAATTTATTGTTTGATGAATTATTAATATGAATTTATGGGTGGATACATTGTTATATGAATTTACATATTGGCAAATTATTATTATGAATGTTTATATGGATAAATTATGATGATGATGATGAATTTATGGATGGTGTTTGTCACTTGGAGTTGCCAGCACGTCCAGTTGGGCCTGATGCTCTTTTGGGGTTGGTGGCCGTGGTCACAGGCTGGAGCCAAGCAGAAGATGGCCATGCTGGAGGCAAGGGCTGTGAGATCCTGGTGGGATCTGGGTGACTGGTGCCATGAGGTGATGATGATGGTGTGGCTGGGGAGAGCACGTGGACACCTGGTGTCCTGCAGGGAAAGGATCCCCAGACCTGTGCTCTGCAGTCGGAGCAGCTCCATGTGCTTGAAATCAAATCAAATGGGGGGGAAAAAAGATCATTTCAGACCAGACCTGCAATGATTTTCTTTCTTCTTTTTTTCCAAAACCAGGAGGAGGGTATAAATGAAGAGATGTGCTTGTTTTCTTTTTTGTTTGTTTTTAAACAGAAACATCCCTCTGGGTTTGTGAGCAGCTGCAGAGCAGGTAAGAGCCAGTGTGGTCTGAAATGGGGAGTATTTGAGTGTAAAAACTAAGCAGAACCCCAGATGGGTCCCCAGCTCTGTCACCTGAAGATGTGATTCAGGATTCATGGGAATTAAACATTGCATGGAAGTGGTTGTAACTGTGGAGGGCAGGTGAGATAAGGTGGGCATAGGGCAGGAGGTTGGCTGCACTTGGAGCAGTTCCCTGCAAGGGTTTGTTCCTGGCCTTGGTGCCCAGGCTGGGCTGGGGGTGCTCACACCCTCTCTCCTCGTGGATTTAAAAGCTCCAGGTGGTCTTGGGCAGCTGGGATTGTGGTGGAGCTGTGGGTGCAACACCTGCTGCAGGGGTGTCCTGGGCCATTGCCTGTCCCTGGGGAGGGACAAACGGGTGGTGTCTTCTGGGGTGAGTGGAGGGGGCTTGTTCCCTGCAGTCTGGGATGATGTTATGGGCTGGAGGGTGGTCCAAAGGTGGTGTCCTGGGCAGAATGGCTGGCTGGAGGTGATGTCCTGGCCTGAAGAATGGTCCAGAGTAATGTCCTGGGCTGAAGGCTGGTCCAAAGGTGTCCTGGACAGAGTGGTGGTCTGGAGGTCATGTCCTGGGCTGGAGGGGTGGATCAAGGTGGTGTCCTGGGCAGAAAGGTGGTGAGAGGGTGATGTCCTGGGCAAGAAGAGTGGTCAGGGGGTGATGTCCTGGGCAGAAGGGTGGTCAGGGGGTGATGTCCTGGGCAGAAGGGTGGTCAGGGGGTGATGTCCTGGGCAGAAGGGTGTCTCCTCGGTGTCTTTGTCCCCTCTAACGTGCGTTTCCCCGGCAGATGCCGCGGTGCTGCCGACCCCGCTGCGCTGCTGCCCTCGTGTGAGCGATCCCCGAGCCGCAGCCAAACCTCCCGCCGCCGGGCACGGCAGGGAATGTCCCCCCGGGAACCCCAAAGCTCTGCAGCCTCCCTGCTGAGCCTCGTGCCCACTCCGGCTCCGCGCTGCCCTTGCCCTTGGTTTGACATCTTGGTGGCCCAAGTCAGTGAAGCCCCGCGGAGTCCCCGGCTTGCCAAGAAGGCTCCTCTGTGCCCGAGGGATGCAGAACCAGCCCAGAACGTGCAGCACCAGGAGGTTTGTGGGCCCAGCCCCCCGGGTGTGTTTGTTGAAGGTCTGACTGGGGGTGTTGGTGCACTTGGCACCCGGAACGTGGCTGCGCGGTTCCCTGGGCAGGACTTTGGACCGAGGAAGGGGAACACTGGTCCTTCCTGGTGAGGGAGGTGAGGCACTGGGAACAGGTTGCCCAGAGGAACTGGGGATGTTCCCTCGAGGTGCTCACGGGTGGGTTGGATGGGGCGGGGGGTGTCCCTGTTCGTGGCAGGGAGGTTGGGACTGGATGGTCTGTATGGTCCCTCCAAAACAAACCAGTCTGGGATTCTGTGATGTCACTGCTCCATGCTGGGGCACCCCGTGTTGTGCCAGGACAGCCAGGATGCCCTGGCAGGGGTCACCTGGGGATCCCTGTGCTCATGAGCCAGCCGTGCTGCTCCCAGCAGCATCTCCAGATGATGTTCCAACCACAGCCTTGTCTGACCCATCACACCCTGGCCATGCACTAGGGACCTAGAGACCAGGAGCAGGTTTGGGAGTTTGCAGAGTCCAGGGGAGGTTTCCTGCCTTGGCACTGACTCACCCCATCACTTCAAGTGACTGATCCCACCTTCCTAGGACTTCTTTTTTGCATTAAAGAGCTAAACCTGTATATGTTAAATACCCGAGTAGATCACTGGGGTGGTGGGTGGGTTTTGAGAAGTGGTCAGATGCAGTCTGTGGGTGACAGGGGCCACAAATGGTGGCATCTCCCTGAACACTGTTGTCATGGGCTGCTGCTGAGGCTGCTGGTTTATTGCTCAGGATCGCTGGCAATTTGGAAACATCCCTGTTGTTTATTCTCCCATTTCCAGTGCTTTCCTTGAAGGTATTTCCTACACTCTGTGTGGACAAAGCTGATGGAAATACTGAACTGAGTCTCTGCCTGCCCAGCCTGGGGGGATGTTCTAGCCCCCAAAAGCATCCCTCACTGCCAGCATCCCACCCGGCCTCGGGGACATCC